TTAATTATTGGATCGATGGGTTAGATGGCTACCCTTCACTGCGTGACTGCTCGAAATTTTCCTTGTAGTGCAAACAGTTATAAGAGGGTGAGTGCTATCAGCGGAATGAATAGTGTGCGCAAGTATATATGCAGAATCTGTTGATGGGATTCCAAGGGAACGGGCCCGCTGCGTGCGTGAGCCACTTCCTTGTGTGAAAATGTGGGATGTATTGGGTCATAGTGCGTCGTGCTGACCAGATGCGCTTGCAGGAACAGAAAGTATGTGAGGCTTGAAGAAAAGGATTCGAACAGTCTCCGGACCCTTTGATTTTATGGTTATTCAGTCTTTACTAAGGCTGCGCAATGTAGCTGTAAAAGCAAACCTAGTGACCGCTGGTTTGCTTCTATTATAACCGTTTTGTTATTGCTTGTTTCTCGTTTGGGTTATGACTGTCTCTGCAGCATTCTGATATTTTGGCAGGATTGCTATTTCGGTGATACTTCCCCATTGGCTTCGAAGCGCTTAGCCAAACTAAGCTTACTCGTGTCCTTTGAACGGGGCTAGAATGGGTTCTTCTTGTAATGTTTCCTACGTCGTAGAACATTCCCCATGTGTTTCTATAATACCAGTATACTGCAGCATATACAACAATGCAGTAATCAACTATCTACCGTGCACGAGGTTCTCTTCCTTCTAGACCCCGGAAATTCGCTGTGGGTTTGGCGCTATCGTGCAGCAGGATGCTGGATGGCTCGTCCAGTCGGTGAAGCTGAGCTAATTGAAAGTTTGAGGACCATCTTATTCTTTTCCAGCATGTTCCATCGGTAGAACCATTCATTATTCCACCGAAAGGTCGGCCAGAGTGGGTATGTCGCCCAGATTACATTGCCATTTTCGTCGCTGTCCACGGTTGATCTTAATTTAGGTTTGTTCTTCACGTCGTTTTTGTGAACAGTCGTCATGATGGAGGCTAAACAGTTACTTTTGTTTTGATGAGATTTTTAATTAGCGCTGCTGAATGTTATGGCTCACGAACGTTGAAAAGTCAACGCATGGCCGGTTGGCCGGTCGGTAGAGTTTTCGGTAGTTTCATCTCGGATATATCTTTGTGGTGTTCTTGCGCTTTGCAAAGGAGTCTCCATTACGAATCCCCTTAGTTTTCGCGATCTCCACCCCTGCGTCACTCTTTCTCCAACTCTGCCTCAGGAAATCGTAGTTGATGAAATAACGGTAGTTCGACTGATGCCTAGGGACAAAACAAACCATTAAAGGCAGTTGGCACGATGGTTTCCTACTTAGCCTAAAATGCTAGTAGGGCGCTGTATAGTGGGGAAATGGCGAAAGAACGGAGTGAAACGGTCAAAATCCGGCGAAGAAAAAGCCTCCGTTCTCAGTGACTTGTAAATCGATTTCGGACGAGTTTCCCGTACGCATCTTGCCAATCACCGCTACCGAAGATACGGCTGCATATGTGTACCCATATATGCATGCAGCATCACCGCCGCTTCATACCAATCCCTTTGCTTCATAATTTGCTCAGCAAATGAATGAATACGAGCGTCAGAAACGGTCGTCCGTTTGTGGGCGGGCGGGCAAGGAAGGCGTTTGGGACGTAAAGTTGTTGCTCAATAGGGCGTTATAGAGGTACCCTCCTTGGAAAAGGCTTCACGCAGCGCCTGTCCGAGGTCACGGAATTCTGTTAAGCCAGTTGTACAAATCCTACACCTGTATAGCGATTTATCGTGCCAACTGCCTTTAACGTTCTCTATTTGTTTCTATTATATGCTTGCTTCTCTTCTAACTGGAGAAAGCACACGTGGTGGTGGAGAAAAGCCATACCACCTTGCATCTTACATCGTATTTCAACATTTCTCAGAGTACAACTAGAGATGTAAAAAATAAGAGGTTAGCTTTGTACCCTATTCCAGTGAGGTGGAACATTCCAGT